CATCGTCTATTGTATTCAGGAGGCATGCTTGGATGTGTTCAGCAGGGATCACAGATGATGCTAGGTCCCGCATTGAAGACCTTCCATTTGATGAAGTTGGTCTGTTTAATGAAAAGGCAGATGAGGTGATGGACAATTTACGTAAGATCCGGAAGACAGCTTGTTCTTATTCTGTCCAACAACTGCGACACCAAGGCACAGACCTTTCAATACCCATCACTTGTATCAGCAACCTTCCCATCAGGCCTATTGTTCTTATAGACTTCTTGCTCAAGAAAGATCCAATCCTCCTCTGGTTTCTTCTGTTACCACTGCTTTTAGATCACAGGCTCCTATCCAGCATCGCCAAACCTTCCGTTGTCCTGCAAAGAAAGGTAAACAGTATATTTGACTGTCCTATTCCGAACCATCCACCTGACCTTTCACATCATCCCTGGCTAGTACCCGTCTTCAACAAGTGGTCTGTTGTCACCAAAGACACTTGGGTGCTTGCCATCATATGTTCTGGTTACCTCTTGGAGTTCACAGATCTTCCTCTTATCAGCCACCTCAAACTCAAAACTTAAGCACCTGCTCTAGAGGACGAGGTATCTATTATTCTTCAGAAGCAGGCTATCCAACATGTTCTTCCTCAAGAAGTTCTAGATTGTTTCTATTCCCGCTACAGGGGACCCTCGACTTACAGACGGCTTGACTTACAGACTTTTCGAGTTACAGACTTCTCTGGCTGCAAAATTTAGGTTCGAATTGCAGCCGGAGAATCGACATACAGACCAGAAAAAAACCAAAATGGAACAAAAACAGAACAAAAACGGCTGGTTACAGATTAATCGGTTTTCAATGCATTGTAGGTCAATGGAGAGTTGACCTACAGACTTTTCAACCTGCAGCTACCGTTCCAATATGGATTAATTCTGTAAGTAGAGGGTCCACTGTATTTCGCAGTTCCCAAGAAAGATGGTGGTCTCCGACCGATCCTAGACTTCAGACTTCAGACTACTGAATGCTTACCTTCATCTAAGACATTTTTGTATGGTCACCCTGAATTCGGTCATCCTGCTTCTTTGTCCAAATGATTGGTTTACCATTATAGACCTGCAGGATGCCTATTTTCACATTATATGCACGTATATTCGCTTTTACTTCCTGGATTCAGCCTATCACTTCTGCGCTCTACCCTTAGGACTGTCCACCACCCCAAGGACTTTCACAAAATGTGTGGCCCCTGTGGCGGCCTATCTTCACAGTCTTTCCATATATAGATGACTGGTTGATAGCGGCTGCTTTTTACCGCGAAGCTTTACAAGATACCAACTTTGTTCTTTGGACACTGGCAGACTTTGGCCTGTAGGTCAACTTTGCAAAATCTCGTATCCAGCTGTCTCAGGTCATGGACTACATTGGTGCACAGCTAGACTCAGTCAATGCCAGAATCTTCCTTCCCTCGGAACAAATTCAGAAACTATGCCAAGCGATCCAACCTTTTCATCCTTATGCCAAAGTTTTTGCCCACCATACACAGCATCTTCTAGGTCTAATGGCCTCAACCATGTCTGCTCTTCCACACGCGTGATTGAAAATGCGCTCTCTACAGGCATGGTAACTGTCTCAATTTGATCCTTTGATGGACATACCTACCAAGCAACTGCGTGTAACTCCAGAGCTTGCGAGTCAGCTAACACGGCAGACTTTTGTGCCGCATCTTCTAGTGCGACCCATTCAACTGATGGTCCAGGTTACAATGGACGCCAGCCCAACGGGTTGGAGCGCACACTGTGGTCCTCACAAAATTCATGCCCTGTGGTCCATGTCAGAGAAACTACTTCACATCAACCATCTAGAGGTACTGGCAGTCATCAATGCATTTCGCATCTTCTATCCTCTAGTAGTACTGTAGCTGGAGGAATCCAGGTGGCCATGGGCAACACCACAACCATGTATTATATCAACAAGCAAGGAGGCAGCAATTCACTGTCACTCCTATATTTGGCAGTTCATCTTTGGGAATGGTGTTACGACCACCATGTTTTTCCAATCGCCATTCATGTATCAACAGAAGACAACAATATCGCCAACCGTTTGAGTCGCATGGCCATTCAAACTCACAAATGGCAGCCCAACGACTCCATTTTTTCTCTGATCTGCAATCTTTGGGGAACTCTGGCCATCAACATATTTGCAACCCAGAACAACACGAAATGCACCATGTTTTGCTCTTGAGCGGGGAGAGGCAGGAACTTGCTGGGAGACGCCTTCATGGTGAATTGGGAGGATTGTCTCCTTTATCTATTCCCTCCCATTCCATTAATTCAGCGGACATTAATCAGGATGCGCCAACTTCACGCCAATACCACTCTAGTGGCCCCATGGTGGCCTCGGCAGCCTTGGTTTACTGCCCTCAAAACCATGGCTTATGAGTTCCTGAAACTGCCTCCCCACTCATTTCTTCTGACCCAAGACGCCAGCAGGGTCTGCCATCCCAATCTGAAGTCACTCCACCTCACAGCTTGGAGGATTCCCCCAGTATAGCTGAGGTTTTGGATAAAACCAGAAAATTCTCCACCAAACTGTTGTATTCCTACAAAAGGAATGCTTTTTCTAAGTTCGTTGCCTCTAGAGGGCTGTTACCTGTTCCAGTTTTGGCTGCATCCCTATCTTGATGTCGGGGCACTCACTATTTTATTTATTTATTTATTTATTTATTTATTTATTTATTTATTTATTTATTTATTTATTTATTTATTTAAATTTAATTTAATTTAATTTAATTTAATTTTATTTTATTTTATTTTATTTTATTTTATTTTATTTATACCCCACCTATCTAGTCATTTCGACCACTCTAGGCGGCTTACAACATAAAGCATAACAAGTTCAAGAAAAATTTATAACAATTAATTAATTAAATGATTCTGCAGGATAGGAAAAATACAAAATAAATCAAATAAAGACAGAAAAAAAGGAAAGAGGTCAGGAATTAACTGGAAGGGAAGGCCTGCCTATACATCCACGTTTTTAGTTGGTTCTTAAAAGTACCCAGCTATTGTATTATATCTCTGCTGTTGTCTCTTACCAACCTGTGGGTTCAGAAGCTTCCTGACTATTCTCACACCTGACCTTGAAAATGTTTTTAAGGGGCTTACATAATATTCGCTCACCTGCCCAACCTCCATTGCCTCAATGGTCCCTTCAAGTTGTCTTACGAGCTCTTACTCGCCTCCTCCATTTGAACCAATGGCTTCATAGGAGCTTCGACTCCTTTCGTTCAATATGCTATTTCTTGTAGCAATAACTCTGCATGATGAGCAAGTGAATTAGCTGCACTGCGAGCTGATGCCCCTTATATAGAATCCCATCCAGATAAGGTCGTCTTATATCCTGATGTCTACTTTCTCCCCAAACTTGTATCAGGTTTTCATGTTAATCAACCTTTGATCCTTCCAACGTTGTTCCCTGATCCTTCTTCAGACATTGAGTGCATACTCCATTCCTTGGATGTTCATCGTGCATTAGCATTTTACACTTTTAGGACTAAGGACTTGCACACTTCCTCTCAATTATTTGTCTGCTTCCATGGCCCACATTAAGGCTCTCCCACTTCCTCAAAGACGATTTCTAGATGGATCGTGTCTACTCTCACTCTGGTCTATGAACTGGCTAGCAAAGCTCCACCAGATGCTTTGAAGGCACATTCTAAGAGAGCTATGGATACTTTGACTGCCTTATTGCGTAGCGTTGTTTCTGACATTTGTAGAGCAGCCACTTGGTCCACACCATCGACCTTCGTGACGTACTACCGTCTAGATCTCAGGGCCAAGAAGAAAGCAAATTTTGGAAAGGCTGTGCTGACGTCATTGTTATCATGATGGCCCTCCTGCTGGTAAGTGAGCTTGCTAGTCACCCATTTGTGTGCATTCACAGAGGCCATGAAGAAGAAAGGATGGTTACTTACCTGTAACCATGGTTCTTCGAGTGGTCCTCTGTGAATCCACACATCCTGCCCATCCTCCCCGCTGTCTGTCACTTGGTTCTTGAATTTGTTATAGTCAAAGCCTTGACAGCGGCGGACATTTTGGAACTGAGGTATTACAGGCGGGCAGAGCATGTGCACCACGGGAAAACGTCCTACTAATCACATGTTTTTAAGCTTTAGAATATTCTGAGGAGTCCTGCGTAGGCGCAGTCTTAACCCGTTTGTGTGGATTCCAGGAGGACCAGTTGAAGAACCATGGTTACAGGTAAGAAACTTTCCTTTCCTATGGTAGACGATATGAAACAAAAATTGGCCTGTGTCTGTGATGTCAGAATCTAATAGAACTGGCCTTGGGACTTCAGTCCCTTATAGTTTGTAAAAGTTGTATTCATTATAATTGAGGAGGAGTTATAATAAAGTGACTAGGAATACAGGTGTATGTGAGTCAATAATTGTGGCTAATATAGATGATTTTTCAATCTTAGTTGAGAAAAAAAGGAGTTTCTTAAAATAAAAGATTTTCTAGGAATATTTTATGTGGAAGGACCATAGCATGTAATACACTCAAGATGCAATCCTATAGCCATTTAACTAGAAGTAGACTCAGGGTGAATGGGACTTAGCATGTGGACAGCCCTCTAGTAAAAGTAAACATGTTTCATTGTTTTAAAAAATCTTGCTTTCTACAACATTGCAAGTTGTTGTTTTGTATGATTATGTTGTAAACCACCCAGAGAGTGCTGTAGCAGTGTAAGGAGTTATATAAGTCGAAATAATAGCATGCAGAAATTACAAAATTTTGTACAGTTGCTGCCAACACCATTAATGTCTTAACTGCAATCCTCTAAGTCAAAGCCTTAAATTATTTCAGGAGAATTTTGGCACAGGTGTGTGTTTCATTTTCTTACAGTAAGATGAAAGTAGGGGAGTGTCACTTGGATGTTGAAAGCAGAAACATGTTATTTTGCTTCATTACATTTTAATAGACTCTTTGAACCACATTAATAGATCATATCTTTATTTACAGCACTTAAGCATCAAGACACTGACAGATGATGTGGTAAGACAATTCTTCTTTTTCTTCTGCATTAAACCTTGTATCAAACAGCTAACAAGCACTTGCTTCAGAATACTGTTATTCTTCATGTGATTCAAATTTTACTGTTTATTGAAACAAAGTTACTCACTTTCTATGTAATGCCAAATCATGGTTTGGAATTACATGATCTTGTATTGGGCTGACTTGTTCGTTTTCGTCATTTAATCTCACACTTCTCCTTTTGCAGAAAACTATTGTGCATTGTTGCTACCTAGCCAAACAAAGTTGATGGAAAACTAAAACTGAAAATTATGATCTCTGGCATCTGGTCCTGATTTGCAGACAGATTAAAAATTGATTTGTCAGAATGAAACAATAAGCTTTTGTACACTACCAAACAGGAAGTATAAGAAATTAGGTTGTAGTAAATTGGAACAAACTCTATATTTGTCTAGCCATTGCTACTGGATACATCAACAGCAGCTTCTTATTTTTTTATTATTA